AGATTTTTAGGCGTGAAAGGAAAGAAAAAAGAAGAGAAATGAAGCTAATTAACACAATAAATATTAAAAATATTTATAAAATTACACATGTAACTCATCCATTAATTATATTATGTAAATTAAATAAAAGTATAGTTGTGTTCTCGAGTTCTTTTTCTTTCCTTTATTTTCTTTCCCTTCCTTTCTWTTCTTTTCTTTCCAAATTCRAGAACACTGTATAGGGGATTTTCTAAGTTGTTATTTCTAGGGTTTCTTGYGTTGTAGCGAACCAGTATTTTTGTTGAGTGKGTGCACTTTTAAGGTGGATCAAAATCTCGTGAAGTCGTCCGATGTGTTTTTAGGCAAATGACAYGGTTTTGAAGGATTTTTGCTGAGCGGGTGCACAATTTATATTGATTTCGATGAACTTTTTCGGTTTTCGTGATTGATTACGTGGGATTTTTTGCTTTATGTTAGTTGTATTTTTCGCTAATATACAGAAGCGTTGCTCAAAATTTAGTGTGTGCACCTTTCTTACCCAAAATAGTTTTTTAGTTGTGAACATCTCTTGAGCGGTTGCATCTTTCATACCCATTTTTTTACTTGCGAAAATTAGTTGAGCGGGGTATATAAGACCCTGCTCAGCAACTCATAGGTCCGCCCTTGCTCATGCTACAAATAGACTTACGCGTAAACTAACCTGAACGTTTACAGTTAAAAAAACAAAGCATATGCTTTGGGATTGGGCGTCACACTACTAAACATAACAAGATATGTACAATTCAATATCAATAATTATATGAAACAATACTACTAAATGGAAGACTTTTACCCACCGCTATTTCCCTGGCAAATTCATCGCTAAAGGGGTGATTTGTCACGAAAACGTCACAAAGGTTAATTGGGCAATTTATTGGTGGGAGGCTTAAATCAGTGACAGATAACCCATGTGTTTTCTGGGTGATCCGTTGGTATTTTTTTTTTTGAAAAACATCATAATCTACCGAAACTATTGGTATTTTCTGGGTGATCCATGTATAATTACTAACGGAAAATTCACTACTTGACTTTTATAAGTAAAAATCATTGTTTATAGTGATATAAT